AAAATTATGCAAACTTTTTGGTATTTCCTTAACGAAATTGGAACAAAATGTTATTCCACAGTTTACACTTGTAGAGCCAGGGAATTAGTGATGAGGAAGCCTCATAAATCACTAAACAAATTAGAGACCCTCAGGCTATTTACTTTGTTAACAACACTTCTTTGGTGGGGCCCCACAAGAAAAACAAGAAGTTCACCCTGGCGCCACAAAGTTCAATCAATTATTTATAAATGCTCCAAAATGTTTAAGCACACAAACACAAGGAAGCAGAATAAGCTTTTGGCTACTTATGGGCTGGTCACTGCCAAAAACTCATTGAGATGGCCGGCCGGACGGACGGACGAACAACATCATCAACGGCCGTTATGCTGGCTGGCTGGCTGCTGGTCGTGGAGGTGATGGCATTTCTTTCTCTTTTGGAGGATTTCACATGCGACGAGATATTACCCACAGACACGTAATCTCCCAATTAGGAGGCTGCTGTAGTCGTTGTCGGCAGCAAGGTGTGTGGAGCGCAGCCGCTGCTGCCGATTCAATACGACCTCTTTTTTATTTTGGCCAAGAAGACAAACAAACACACATACACACAGGTTGTGTAGACATATCAATATATTAATTGTCTGAACTTTGCTGTGGCCTTCTTTGGCGTTTTGAGACCCACCAGAAACCATAATTTTTGCTTGAGATTGCATCGAGGAATTCAAATTTCACACGGTTAGATGGTTGAATATGAATCTTCTTGTTGTTGTATTTTTGGCATTTCGCTTAATAATGTCATCGTCTGCCTAGAACACACACGAAGCCAAAAAAAGGATACTAAACTCAACTCTTAATTAGTCTTTGGAGTAGAGATAAGAGGGAAAATGATGCTCTCTTGGTCATCCTCTTCTGGCCGTCGGCTGGGATTTTCAGCAAACAGGCGTTGCTGCTGACTTTCTGGTCTGGCTTACTGTTTGGTTTTGTATCTGTCTGCCTGGTTATAAACATGTCCACAAATATGTTCAAAATGTACAAAATGCCGCGACACATAAGCGACTAAAAAACAATTAAATTGAATTGAAACCCCTAAAATCAGACCATAATTTGTCGATTTAATGTGTTTTCGCGAAAATGATTGGGAAACAAACTGAAAGTGGTGAATGGGAATGATAGTAAAAACAGTGTGCGGTTAAGGATATTATGGAGGGAAATGTGAAATTAAATCGCAATTAATTCATTTCATTGAAATCTATATTAAAAATATTTTTAAGAAAAAACTCTGTTCGATGCAGTTTTCTCACATATTCTTCAATATGTTTGGTATTTAAGGAATCATCGCTAAGCTCTTCGCATATTGCCTATAATTTTCTTTATAATTCAATCTAGACAATTTTCATAATTTTTATTTTTTAAGCGGGGTCTAAAGAAAATTTTGGTACCAAATATTCCATATTTAATGATATTCAAATTTTTGTGATTCCTGATTATTATTACTTGAGGGGCAACCTACTGGCCACACATTTTTGTGATTCCATCGTACATATTGTTGTACATTTTTAGTTTACCAACAAATAAATATCGGTTAATAAACAAGTTAATGATTTATTTTCTGATGTCTTTTTTCATTCTGATTTCTTTTTTTTTCTCAGGGGCAATTGAGCATTCAGCTTATTATATATTTTTTTTAATTTTTTTTATATAAAAAATCGAGGTCCTGATTTAAAAAATATATATTGAAGATTTCCGAAGTCAAATAAAATCTTAAACTTAAATTCGGATGTTAAGGAATCGTCACAGAGCCTTTTGCATTTGGTCAATAACTTTCTTTTATTTTCAGTTAAGTGGGCTTAGACAATTTTTATTTTTCAAGCGGATTCTATGAAATATTATAGCACCAATTATTCCGTAATTAAAGATATCCTTAGTGTGTTAATCCTTGATGGGAGTACGAGGCGATTTTTGGGAATCAATTCACATTACCTTTGTATCTTAAGGAATCATCACATAGATTCCTGCATTTGGTCAGCCATTTTCTTTCCTTCTCAGTTTAGTCTGTTTAGACAATTTTTATTTTTAAAGCGGGTTCTATGAAATATTATAGCACCAATTAGTATGTATTGAAAGATATTCTTAGGGTCCTAATCCTTGATGGGAGTACGAGACGATTTTTGGTAATATATTTTTATGTAAATACCTAGTCTTCATATCAATCCCTTGTGATGGATAAATTAATATGCATTTATCTAAAATTATTACTTATAAACCGTCACTGAAGAAATCCAGTTTGGGAATAATTTCCTTAGATCTCACTGTAAATAATTTTGCAAAGAAAAAATGTCGCAAAACCAAATCCATTACATTTACTCATAAACTGTGTGTGACTTCGATTCCCATCGATGACAAGTTTTTTTTACTACTAGCTCTTACGATATATTTTTGTTTTAAAAATGGCGTCGCTTAATTATAAGACGCATCATGCTGTGTCATTTTTAACTAGCAGCAGCTAGCCGCTGCCGCTTGATGCCTGGCGGATTTCACACACAGGCCAAGCCAAGTCGGTGGACAATGTGTGTGGTCTGGTACTTTTCTGCATAATAATCAACAACTGGAATTCATTCAATAAACAGCAAATCGTTGATTCTCAGCAATGGCTGGATCGTGGTGATTTGCTTTGTTTTAGATTCGTTTATTTCTTTTCTGCAAAAAAGCTAAAAAAAACCTAAACTGTCTAGCCAGTTATGCGATTTATTCAACAATGTCTAAAAACAGATTGAAAACTACTGGAGTTGCTGCGGTTGCTGTCGTTGGCAATGTCGATTGTCGGTTGTCGTTTAAATGAAGTGATCGTTTAAATTGTTGAATCAGTGAATGCTGTTCGTTCGTTTGTTCTGCGATTTGAATCCCAGGCAATTGGAATTGTTGAACACAATTTGATTTGTTACGTTTTTGGGTTTTTTTTTTTGAAAATGAGGGACTTTAATCGTGCCGCCACCACCACCATGAATGTAAGCTTTAGCTTACACAAAATTATGGTAATTAAAAAGGTGTTTCATGTTTTAGGTCAGGGTTGCCCTGCTTAATTTTCATTTGCTACCAAAAAAAAATTTTTGGAGGTGAAAAATTCCAAAAAATCTGTAAAGAATTTGTAAAAATTCGAAAGATACATTTGACTTTAGTCTTTGAAGAAATAGTGGTATTTGGGAAGAGACTCAAGAGATTCTGTGGAAATCCTTAATTATTTAAAAAAATCTTTTTTTGAGGCTTTAATAATCGCCCTGAAATCGTTTTACGGGTCATCGCTAAGTATTGCTTATAACTTCCAGATCACTCAAAATTGTGAAGATTTCGGCCTTCCAAAAATTTGTACATTTAGAACAGGTTCCAAAAGGTTCGTCGATGACCTTATGAGATGAAATTACCTAAGGGTAAAAGTAGGAATTGAGGTAAAGCATAGAAGCACATCTAATAAACACATAAATCATGATTAATATACCATTATAGAATACAAGTATTCAAGCGCTATATATAATAGATCTATCTGTCTAGAGATTTGAATAGACCTCCAAGAAAAATTCTATCTTTATTTTAAATTTTCCTTTAAAATTTCTTCATTAAAATACTATGAGGCCCCATTACAATATTGTCATAGAAAATTAGTCCTCAGTCCTAGGTATTTTCTTATAGATTATGAGTTTTAATAGCTCCTCAAAATTCAATCTACCATTAGGGTTCTCAATATTTTTATTTTTTGGGATGTTTTTTCCAAAAATACAGAGGATGGTAGGATCCAAAATGAGACTAGCCTTCTGAGAATTATCTGTAAAGAGGAGTGAGTTAAATTTTTGTCAAAAGTCCCCATATTTGTTTAATTTTTCTTTCATGAATCCCCATTAAAAATTAATCGCCCAAAATTTACTAATTTCCTCCCTAAAAAAGGGTAACTCCGCTCATCTTTGTTGGTCCAAAATGTCTGTTGTTGTTTGCCATTGGTGGTGGGTTGTAATCAACTTGTCGTCTTTGGCTCAACATGTGAGGTCCATTCGGCGGCCGCGGCGGCCTTCTATAATAAGCGGCAGCGTACAAAATTAACCACAAACTAAATTCATATTTATGATAGTCCAATATTCCAACAACAACAACAGCAAACCGAATTTGTGTAGGGTAACAACACAACAACAAGCAGAAGACAACAACAACGAAGAAAAAAAATTTAAACGAAATAAATCTCAGAATTGAACGTTTGTGAGTTGTAATCGAAGAGTTATGGGCATTATGGAAAACAAGTCAACGAACACGATTATTGGAGTTCGGTGTTGTGTCGTTGTTGCTGTTGTTGCTGTTGTAGCAAAACTTTAGGCAATCTCTGGCCCAGCTAGTGATGGCGTGTAATGGTCATGTATCGTGTGTGTGTGAGAGGAAGGAGAGAGGCGGAGGTATCTAGCTAGGAGTTGTATAGCCCACATTAAGGCCACACACATTTGGAGGAGAGCATAGCTTGCAATTTGATTGTGGGTGGCCAATTCTGTGGCAGTTTTTTTTCCTTCTCCATTTTTTTGTCGAACGACTTGCCAAACTATAAATGACTGGTTGTCGTCTATGCCGCACAATGGCCTATGGCTGGCTAGCCCATACCAGTTTTACATATTTTATTAATCCCTATCCCGGTTTTATTACATCTTCGTCAGATTTAAGCCATTGTGAGTGACTAGGAGTTTTCGATTTGATTCTATTTCTTTGTCGTATTTTGTATTCTCATAGTTTGATCAGAGTCCACAAGAACTCAACTGAACTCAGCAACCAAATCAAAATCATTCAACCAATCAATTGTATGCCTGGCATGTTGGATACACACTGGAGAGATACATCCCTCCATGGTTGTTGTTGCCTTGTTTTTGATGAGGATGATGATGACACAAAAGCTTATTGCCTTGAATGTTAAACTAAAAAAACGAAAAACAACAAAAAATCTCTCATTCTTATTCTTTTTCTATTTTTTTTTTCCATCTACCCATCATTTACAGACGATACTCAATTCCATGCACAAATATCAACCCCGGTTTCATTTGGTGCGAGCCAACGACATTATCAAACTACCATACTCCACGTTCAGGACGTACGTTTTCAAGGAGACGGAATTCATAGCTGTGACTGCATATCAAAATGAAAAGGTATGTTGGTTGGCTCCCCCCTAACCTAGAACAAACAAATCAATGTATGATTCTCTACACGTCCTGTATGTTGCACACCAAAAAAAAAAGAAAAGAAAAACAACAACAATATTGGATAACAACAACAAGGATTATATATGAGGACACCTCTCTTTGTATTGCATATGACAAACTAACGTTATTTTTGTAATTTCTTTTTTTTTTCAATTTTTTTGCTTGCTGCCACCTACCACCACCTATGTGAACTTCGCGAACACATTGCAAATGCAGATAACCCAATTGAAAATCGACAACAATCCTTTTGCCAAAGGTTTCCGCGATACTGGCGCCGGAAAGCGGGAAAAGAAGTGAGTATCACTAGAGTTTAATTTCAACGATGATTTTTTTTTTATATGAGAACATTTTTTTGGGATTTACACTGAAAGAAAAATATTAATGATTTTAAAAAAATATTGAGAATAAAAAATAACATATCAAGATCTTAGGATCATAAAAAAATATTTAGAATAAAAAATAACATATCAAGATCTCAAGATCATAAAAATTGTTTCAGGATTACCTGAGGATTTGATCATCAAGACACTAGATTTTTGTAAAAATTAACCAAAGACCTGAGGATTTTTTATAAAAAGATTCTCCTTATTTTCCAATAGAAAAAAACTCTGTTCTTCAGGGCCGGAGGAATATTTTTTTATAGAACAGGTTCTGCTTTTGACCAGCAAATCTTCATAACCTCCTCAGGATTTGAAAAATTTAGTTTTCTACAAAAAATCTTCTCAGAGCCTGATAAAAGTTTTTTTCTAGGAGCGATTTTCTTCTACAGAAAAGGGTACATTTCAATATTAAATTTTTTTGTTTGCAGAAAAATTGACCTCCTTCGGGCCTGAAAAAAATTTATGTCCGGAGAATTACTTACTTAGCTGGCTTGTGACAGAACTTTCGTTCCATAAGCCGAGCTTAAAAAAGATTTCCACGCGCGTCGGTCTTTTGCGCAGGTTTCTCCGGAGAAATAGCGTCTATAAAAAGAGTCCTGAGATCCCGATATAGATTTTTTCTGCAAAAAATGATCTCTTCAGGACCTGATAACCTTACAACCAGAAGAATTTCATATACTCGGGGTCTGATGTTTTTTTATAGAATGAGGTAGAATGTAAAAATACAAGAAGTGTCTCCTCAGGACATAAAAAAGTTGGGTTTCTACAAGAAAAACGATCTCCTCAGACTCTGATAGTTTCTCTAGGATCTGAGTGATTATCTTCTAGAGAAAAGGGTACTCCCCAATATCCGATTTTTCCTGTCGAAAAATCAGGTCAGGTCCGGAGAAATAGTATCTATAAAAAGAGTTCTAAGATCCATAGTTAGAATAAGGGCACTTTTTCTGAAAAAAGGATCTCCTTAGGACCTGATAATTTTTAATTTATAGATCTGAGAGATTTTCTGCTAGGGAAAATGGTACTTCTCAATATCCGATTTTTTTCTGCAGAAATATTCGACTCATTCAGACCTGAAGACATTTTGTAGGACGAAAAAATACTACTCTGGCCCGGAGGAATAGCGTTTATAGATGAAATATGGTCTCTTCTAGACCTATTTTTTTCGCAGAAAAATGGAGAAAAAATCTTCAGGTCCGGAAACAATACTTCACAGGATAATTAATAAAAATATTGATAAAAGGATGGAATTAATTTCCTTTATTTTTTATTAAAATTTCATGAGAAACAAAGAGAGGGAGCGGGACTGGTTTGTTTTTCCTTTCCCTTTATTTCAATGAAGTTTTAGCCTGCCACCATAAAAAGGGCCTATGTCGTGGGAAACGGCTAACTTCTACCATGGCAAACAACAACTGATTGTGACATGAGATGTCACACAGTAGTCACAAAATAAGTTAGTCAAAAAACGATATCCCCAAAATTGTACGTTATCATGTCTTAGCGTTACCCTGACTGAAAATAATCATAATCGTCCTCATCATGGCGTAGGGAAAAATCAAGATGCCAACCACACTCTCCAGTGTCAGGGACAGCCTGCCTGCCTTTCTGTCAGTCATGTGAAAGTCAAGTCATGGTGTTTATGTTGGTACTGCCTTTGCGTGTGTCTCTGTTCTAGCTTTCCGGCAGCACACAAAGAGAATCATCCTTAACAGGACTCGCCCACAAAGTGAAAATTAACATTAGTGGCAAAAAAATCGGGTAACACATTTTCTGTTTGTCAAATTCATGTTAGTTGACAGTTGACGTCCAACACCCTGTATGTCGGCATTTTCACAATTGTTGTGGACTGTGGGTGTCAGGGACAACAAAAATCAGGAATCAACAAAAAATTAAAAAAAAAAATCAACATATACTAAACTTTGCTGGAGACATTGTCATAGAAAACTTCATTCAGAACAACAACTAGTATTCCGAAAAAATGCAATTCATCATCCTTCAAAATCTCCACATACAAAAAAAAAGGAATTTTGGTTTCCAAAATCACAACAATGACATTGAAGAAAATTTATTTGTCATCAGCTACGATAGACTTGGCTGACAGGCATATGTCCGCAATTTACTGTGATGTTTGTTTCAGTTTCGTTAGACTAAATTTGATTTGTTACCAACAACCCAACCACCCCCAATCCGTAAAGCTTTTTTGCCGGCAAAGTAAATGAAACGCTTTTTGTTGTTAAATGACCGATAGCGTATGCTTTAGAGATTTGCAAACGTATCGGATTTCCGTTAAAGCGTTTGTATGGCAATCTGTTTTCCTTCTCCTTTTCATTTCATCCCCTGACTTTATTGAGTCTCTTGATCTATGTCCTGTTTGTAATCCATCCAGCCATTCATCCTTCCATACATACATGATGATGACGATGTTGATGATGATGTTAGTGGTGGTGTTGATGGTTTTACTCTTCAATTCCTGGTAACCCCGCACACCGCACACACGTTTGCAAAAAAACAAGAGGAAATCAATTCTATTAGAAACGGAAATTAAAATCAATCAATCAATTGTATTCTTTGCAGATTTTCGTAGAGCAACACAACGACGACAACAAATTATTGTGTATATTTGCCATCCGAGATAATGATGAGGGTATTGGGTCATTTGTGTGTCACCCACTCTCTCTCTCTCTCTTTGGGTTTTCGTTGGGCTAAATTTGCATTTGCGGATTTTCTGATAACCAAACAGTTTTAACACACTTGATTGCAGGAAGGGAGGGAGAGAGTGAATCCTAGACATTAAATTTGTGGATTAGTCCTAAGACATTTGTTTGACCTGATGAGGCATTTAATTGTGACGATTTGGAAAAGGAAGTTGGAAACTTCGGGAAGTTCATTCAATTTTAATAAAAAAATACCACTTGATGGATAATTAAAAAGTGATTCATGAAACTTTGTGGTGGTTTTTGATTTGTGAAATTGTTAAAAGAAAAATTATATTCTAAAGATGTAACATTTATATCTTCAAGTATCGAGTATAAAGATTTCTTCAATCTTCTTCGCTAAAACATCCTTTGGGGAACTTATGAACTTTATCCATAGAAGAAAGTTTTCCTTTAAACCTGAGGATTATTTCCTAACGATTCTCGGACCTGAGAATTTGTTTTTTAATACAACTCAATCTCCATATAGTCTGATCTTCTCCTCAGGGCCAAAATCCCATTCCTTATTTCCTGATGATTTCTTTCTACAGAAAAATTTACTCCAAAGCATTTTTCTCCAAAAGAAAGTATTCTTCAGGACCTGAGGGAAATTTTTCTATAGAAAAGACAATACTATCCTCGAGATCTGATATTTTTATAGAATTGGTAGAATAGGGGATAGATTAAAAGTCTTCTGAAGACTTAATAATTTTTTTCTGCAAAAATTCGGGTCCTAGAAACCTGAAAATTTTTATATTTCAGCAATATTTTTCTGTGGACCTCTCAATCTTAAAAATTTCTTCGGGAGCTGATGGGGTTTTTTATAGAATGAGTTAGAATGGTAAAATATAAGAAGTGGCTCCTCATGACTTCAAAAATTTGGGTTTCTACAAAAAATGATCCCCTTTGAGCCTGATAAAAGTACTTCATAATATCCGATTTTTTCTACAGAAAAATTGATCTACTTGGAAAAATTATATGTGAAAAAATACGTGTCAGGTGCGAAGAAATAGTTTCTATAGAAAGAGTACTGAGATCCCGAGATAAAATAAGGACATTTTTCTGCAGAATTATCTCCTCAGGACCTGATCATTTTTAATTTATGGAATATTTTTCTGTGGACCTTACAACCGGAAGAATTTCACATTCTCTGGATCAGATGTGTTTTTTTATAGAATGAGCTAGAATGGAAAAATACAAGAAGTGTCTCCTCAGAACTGGAAGAAATTTTGGAAGAAAAAGGAAAGAAAGGATCCCCTCAGTGCCTGATAATATTTTTTTCTTAAATCAGAGGTATTTTCTTTCAGAGGAAATGGTACTTCTCTACTCCTTCGGGTCTGAACAATTTTTATGTGAAAAATACTGGCCAAGTCCGGAGAAATATCGTGAAGAGAGTAATGAGCACCGAAGAAGACTTGATATTTTTTCTGCAAAAAAAGATCTCCTCGAGACTTGAAAAATTTGGGTTTCCACACAAAAAGATCCCCTCAGAGTCTGATAATAGTTTTTTATAGGATCTGAGAGATTTTCTTCTTAGGTCATATTTTTATGCAGAAAAAGTTAACTCCTTCGGCCTGAACAATTTTTAGTGAAGTCCGGAGAAATATCGTGTAGCGTACTGAAATATGGTCTTTTCTAGACCTGATTTTTCTGCAGAAAGTAAATTTGGTGTTGCCTGCTTTTAGGCTATTCAAATATCTGATCTAGAAAATTTAGATTTTTTTTTTAATTCTTGCATATTTTTATAGGATTTAAATTAGAGATTAAATAAAACTTCATTTTTTATTATTTCCTTTATTTCACGTCTTCTTCCTTTAGGCCTTCTGGTAAAATGCATTTAGTGTTGCCTGCTTTTAGGCTATTTCAACAATTTTATGTTACACGGCTGATATCTTTATTTTGGTGGCCCCAGAAACTTTACCTTTTTTCCATATGTATGAGTGTATGTGTGGGCAAAATGCCTGTCCCACGTCGTCAGTCAGTTCGTCCATCATCATTATTGCCTTTAATTGAAAAAAGAGTAAGGAGAGAAAAAAAAATAAATTGTATAAAAAATTAATTCAAAACACGTTAGCGCAATTTTGTTTAACACAAGGCTGGATGGATGGCTGGCTGATTGGCGGGTGAGCAGGCAGGCATACAGGCGAGTGAATTAAATAAAAAACAGCAAAAACAACAACAACAGCCAACCTTCTTTGGCTATGTTCACACATCAAAGCGTTACAAATTTTTGCTACTTTCGCCAAATTGGGCAATTTTCGCAAACAAAAAAAAAAAACACAGAAATGAAAAAAACAAAAGCCCGAGAATGAACACCACCAGACATATTGTTGCCGTCGGCTTAACTACCATGGCCCTGTGTAATGGTGTTGTTGCTGTTGCTCTTAGATTGCCAGTAATTTAATAGTAAATCAATTTAGAATGTTGTCTAGCATTTATAAGCTAGAAGACGGATGTGTGGGAGCGTCAAAAGGGCGGTCTAAGACGTTTTAATCCCATAAAAAACCCACACACACAACAAGGAAATAAATGCACATATATTAGTGTGAAAATTGAAGGAAGGTAGCAGGGGGTTTTGGGAAAATAAAACTGCCAATATGTATGGATAGATTAAAAGGTATTTTGTTTGCCCTGTAATTTTCTTTTTTTTAATTTGCCAGCAATTTCTGCAACGATGTGTTATTGCAATTATGGGTTTCCTGGTGGGGGGAGCGGGGGGTGATATGAGGTGCTACACTACTAGAAGGTGATGTGGTGATCTATCTTTTTTTGACCCAACAATTGTGGGACCTTTTGGATTTTTTGCAATGCCTTGGGGTTTCCTTTGTGGGTTAAAAAAAAAACAACAAAGGAAATCATCGAACTTCCTGTCGACGTATCATGAATATTGTATTGTGGTTGTAGAGCGGTTATTGTGGTTGTAGAGCGGTTGTGGCTATTGTTTTGCCTGTTAATAATTTTTGGAATATGTTTTTTGTACTAGGAATCTATCCTGCACTGCCTTGTGGGTTTCAAAAAACGCCAAAGGATATCATCTAACTTCCTGTCGACGTATCATGAATATTGTATTGTGGTTGTAGAGCGGTTTCTTGTGGCTATTGTTTTGCCTGTTAATAATTTTTGGAATATGTTTTTTGTACTAGGAATCTATCCTGCAGAGCAAGAATCCAATAAAACTACATCCCAAAAACATCAATTAGCGTATGTTTTGATAATGACTCCCTAAGCCTTTTTTAGAAAATTATTTTACATCTAATCCTTAAACGTTTAGGTTTTTTGTTTCATGTGGCGATAATGAGGAATACCTAAGACCGATTTAAATTCCCAACACACACACACACGCTCGCTTACTTACATGGCTACGCACACGCATTTTTTCCTCGTTCTCCCCTATCTTTTTTCTAACATTGGGACTCACTTAAGAACAATTAAACAAATCCTGTGGTGAAGAAAGGGTGCAAAGCCACAAAATTATTAATAGCCATGGTGGTGTTATTATAACCAGGTTCTTTTTTATTCGCCCCGCGACAAATGACTCTGGACATTTGCTTAGAATAGAAGGGTTGTTTGTTAATACGCTTTACACGCACATTTCTTCGAGCTAATTGTAACTAAAGAGCCCCAACCCAGACCCACAACCTATCCTCCTTGACTAATAATGAATTAGTAAGGAATTTGTTAACACACACTTGAAAGTGGGGAGGTAGAAAGATATGGAGAGGGGTCACATTGATACTAAGACAACGTTTAAACATTTACTCATTGATTGTCACCAACAATCCCTTCCTTGCCTTCCCCCTTTCCCAAAAAACACTTCTATTCTTTTTTAATGTTCTCTGGAAATCAACACCCAAGGCCGATGGAGGGTTGGAGAGATTAAAAACAATATGATTTGAATGAAGGGGTTAAATCGTTGCAATCAAACTCAAACAAACAGACAATGCAAACAACATGTTTCGAAGGGGGTTACAAGGACTTAATATTCCAGCCAGGAACTTTTGTCAACTTTCATCCCAAAAAAATAACATCACCAAATTATTTTCATTATTTGTTCTCGCTCTTGACAAAAGCCTAGTCAAATTTTCCTGCAGAACGTTCCATGACAACAAGAAAAACAAAAGCGGAAAATTGTTTCTGGTTTAAGCCGCTTTAAGGCTAATGAGCAAAGGAATTAATGCTGGCCACTCATGAGGAGAGGAGGAGAATGGGGTGGGGGAGGCAATAAATAATAAATAAAGTTTTCCAAACACTCAACCACAAAAATCATTAACAAATTAGCAACAAAACTTAATTAGGAAGTAAAGAAATCAATTCTAACCTCAAACTTATTGTAACTAACCTCAATTTATTCTACATAACCTCAAATAAGTGAAATTTGTTGTGTGGGGGTCTTTAAAAACAATCATTTTAATACAAATTTTGAGAATATTCCTCTTCTATATAAAAAAATTCTTCCTGAGGGGCTGAGGAATTTTTTCTTAAGAAAAATCCTCCTCAGGCCCTTAAGGATATTTTTTTATATACACACCTTTCTGAAAAAATCCCAAAATGTACACCTCATAAAAAATCCCCAATGCATTCTATTCCACTGAACCTTGGATGTTCTAATCAGCCTTTCGTATCTACCAACTGTTGTTACAGGCAAGCGTTACTCTCGAATCGCGGGTCCGATTCGGATAAACTGAATCCAACACATGTCAGCAGTTCACGAGCCCCATTGCATTTGGGTCATACCGGTCGGCCGCCACATCATTTACATTCACATCCCTCCATGCATGACAATCAACAGGACGATGAGGATAAGCTGTTGGATGTTGTGGGTCCGCCACAGAGCCCGCTACTGCCTTTAAGTCATTCGCTGCAACAAATGCATGCCCATCAACATTCGGGTAAGTGTAAAAGAATTTTTTTTATTTCAGCTTTTCGAACATAACTAGAAAAATTAAGAAGAGGAGATTTGAAATAATGTGAATAGGTTTTGAAATCATTTGGAGAAGAACGAATCGGAATCGGTTATAAGAAGAATTATTAAAATTCTTTGGTGTTGAGAAGACTGTATAAAGTCTTCTCATCATCCACAGGTACCATATACCCTCTACCCAAAGCTTTTTCTAACATTTTAAAGCTCTGTAGCAATTCAGAAGCTCTTCTGTGTTGAGAAGACTTTAGAAAGTCTTCTCTTATTCCATAGGGACTATGGAATAAGAGAAGGCATGGAATGTAGAAGGTTTTCTCCACAGGGTAACCCTATTGACGATATTCTGCCTACCCTCTACCTAAAGCTTTTTTTACTTTCCAAAGCTGTTTAAAGACTTATTATTATGAAAAGCTTATAAAAATACGGCAGATTCGAAGATATAGAAAAACCACCAATAGACATCTATATTCACTTCCGAATATTTCTAAAAGTTGTATTAGTTTCTCGACCTAAAACTAAAGGTCTTCTCTACATGGAATTTAGAAAAATTTTCTCTACATGTACAGCGTATTAACGATATTCTCTACACAGCTATTTTATTTTCCAAAGCTATTTGGGAACTTATAAATCTGCGGAATACGAAAATATAGAAAAACCTCCTATAACCCTCTACATTCACGTCCGAACGTTTCCAAAAGTTGTATTCGTTTCTCGACCTAAAACTCCTCTCCTAATTTTTGTCACATTTCTAAATTGTATTCCCAAAATTACCTCACATTTTTTCAATTGACTAACGAAATTTTCTAATCTATTAAAAGCCCTTGCAGCTTGGTTCAACCATTTGGCCGGCGCCAGCGATCATGGCGGTGATGATGCCCTACGAAGACGCCTACAATCGGACGAGGTGGAACGTGATGGCAGTGATTCGAGTTGCTCAGAATCGGTGGGTGGCAGTACGGGTGGCGCTTTCCGGCCCACCTCTTCGGGTAGCCCTAAGGAGGGTGCCGGAGGCCTAGGTGCCGCCGGCTCCTATCCCTCACCCAATATATCCGTTGGCCCACCCATTCATCCATCACCACACCTGTTGCCTTACCTCTATCCACACGGTCTGTACCCGCCACATCATTTGGGTTTGCTGCATAATCCCGCTGCAGCGGCGGGTCTCAATCCTGGCCTCCTGTTCAATGCTCAACTTGCTTTAGCCGCTCAGCATCCCGCCTTATTTGGACACTACTCAGGACACACACCAGCCTCCCCACTGCATGGTCTCAAGGGACATCGTTTCTCGCCCTACACCCTGCCCGGTAGCCTGGGTTCGGCCTTTGATGCCGTAACGCCCGGTTCGAATGCCAATCGCTCAGGTTCCGAATGCCCGGGCATGGGCAGCAGTGGCACTGGCAGTGTTGATAATGGGCCTCGCAGTCTCAGCTCTAGTCCAAGACCACGTGCCTCCTCACATTCGCCTCCGACGCGGCCAATATCCATGTCACCCACCACGCCGCCCTCCCTTATGAAACGTACCAACTCACCGTCAGAGCTCAAATCGATTGAAAATATGGTCAACGGGCTGGAGGTGCAGCACAATGGCAGTGCCTGCAGTACCAGTGGGTCGATGGATGATTTGCACCGTAAATCGCCGGGGCTGCACGGTGGGGATCAGTGACAATTGTATGACCGGGACGACAACGATCGCTCTTCGGTCATAGATCTGGATGATGTGTGACAAGTTAGCTATTCGTTGCAATTGCAGCCCGTAATAAATGCCTGGCGTCAGATCAATGGAATCGATAACACCACCACCACGACGAACAACAACCATCAGCCGCAGCAGCACCAGCATCACTTAAATCGTCATTGACCAGACCCACAACAAACAACCAGGGGGAAATGGTGATATTTTTGACCACCATAACAAGAGGTAACTTGAAGCTGAAGCTGTTGCGTTTAAAACCAATTTCCCCCAATTTTTTTACTTTAACCTTTAAAGTTCTGACTGTCAGACCCTATTATTTTAAATATTTTTTTTTGTTTTCAATTAATTCAAACCAAAGAACGTATCTTACTTGTAACGTCTACTTTAACGACTATTTTTACTACCACTTTCTTCTTTGCTAACTGCTCGATTATTATTTTTTTTGTATTTTCTTTTGTATGATTATACTATTATATAATATGTATATGTATGTAAATGTAACTAGGGCTTACTAGCATCCAAAAAAAATGAAGCCCTCTCTCACCACACCCCTCAAGCAATGTAATCCTCCTCCAGCATATGTTGTATATTTATGTAAATTTATGCTTAAGTTTTTTTTTTCCTTCGTTTGTCCCCAAGCATTAGGGACATTATGACCCTACTCCCATTCTCCCCCCAAAAGAATCTCCTATTCTCTATATATAATATAACTTTAGTATTATTAAATATACATAAAGACAATTTTGTTTTTTTGTGTTTAGTATAGTCCATATTTGATGATGACGATGATGAGGACGATGTGAATTTAAATTTGAATCAGAATTTGAATTTTGTTTTCAATCTCCATTATGTTCCTTTAACGAGCTGTTGTTCGTTTATGTATGTATAATTTACAAAAAATCAAGAAAAAATGAAGTATAAAACACTCTCACAGACATACAAACACACATACACACACAAACATTTCCTGTAAAAGAGACATCATTTAAATAATAAAAAAAGAAAAGAAAATAAGAAAAAAAACGAAAAAATATACAAAGTAAAAAATAAGTTTTAGTTTAGTGTATTTTTTAGTTGCATATATTTCTATAAAAAAAAACAAAAAAATCATAGACTTAGTTAATACAAATACAAAACAAACAACCTACACCCTCTCACTTTCCTCAAGGAAAAACTCGTAATGTAATGTAAAAAATTAATTAATTAATAAAGAATGGAAAAATTAAAAAAAAAATAATAAAAATGAAGTATATAACTTAAGCGCACACATATATACATATATTGTTTCCTTTATTCCCCTCATTTCTCAGTTAGGTTTCCTTAGATCGTTAACAGTTAATTGGGTAATCAATATGGCAACTCCACAGCTTACATGGACATACATTGGAATGGTTGAAGCCTATGTCTTCAATTTGCTTAATCGTACCTTTGATTTTGATTTACAGTTATTTGAATATCTGTGTTAATTCTAGAGATAATACATTACAGTTGGGCAGTCTAGTTCACGGAACGGAACGATCGGAAATAGTTCATTTTTGAAAAAATTAACTAGTTTCTTAAAATATTTTTTTTGCTCCATATAGTTCCGACTCCTAGATAGTTCATTTGAATCTCTCTCTTTCATCGCTCTTTTTGTTTTTCGCTCACATAGTTCCGAGTTGGTTCACATAGTTCCGAGTCGTTAATGGATGAAAAAAAGTAAAAAAAATGAGGAAAAATGAAAAATTTTCCCAAACGACAGAATCTGAAAAATGAAGGAGAACGAATGAAAAAAATTGGAATAATGGAACGAGGCTAGTGAAAGGAACGAGACCAGTGAAAGGAACCAGATCCGAAAAATGAACTATAGAACTAGTTCCTATGAACTCCCCTACTTTACAATACATAAATGATGGAACTTTGGCGACAGTGTTTTTATTATTAGACTAAACTCAAGCAATTGTTGGTCGTTTATTGGACAGATATCTTACAAAATATCTTAAAGAAATTCCATTCAAGAACTCTGTAGCCGAATTGTATAAAAAATATGTTCTAATGTCAGATTTGCTTCTATTGATCGTTGACTGTAACCGGTGAACTTGAAACTTGAAGGCTTTCTTCTTATAGTATATATATATATTTTTTTTTTTTTTTGAACTTTGATTGCGAAACTATGATTTTATTAGGTTTAACACTAAGCAATTTTTTATCGCTGAACTCCACGTGCACCCACATCGATAAAATTTATAAAAGGCCCTGTTTTTCTCGCTTCTTATATTTCAACCTCGATCTGTATAAAAAAATCTAATACAATAATATACCTTGTGTTTCCATTCTCCACATTATTATTCTGCTGTGTTTTTTTAAATCATTGTTAAAAGACCTATAGAAGTTCTTCTGTGTTGAGAAGACTGTAGAAAGTCTTCTCTTCTTCCACAGGGACAGTAGGTCTTCAATACATGGCATGTAGAATGTTTCCTCTATATGGAAAGCCTATTAACGATATTCACCCTACCCTACCACCTACCCAAAATTTTTGTCTTTCTTCTTATGAAAAGCTTATAAAAAGTCATCAGAATGCGGCAGATCCAATGAAGATATTTTATATATATATATATATATATATATATATATGTCAGAAACAAAATTGGTCCAAAGAAACATGCCAATATTTCGATGTGGCATAACACCATTAGCCATAAGACTCAGGATATAAAAACATGGTCGATCAAGAACAGGATACACCATTCTAGACTTGAAAAATAATTGATATATAAAAAATAATAATTAAAACTTTAGAATTCCCTCTAACTAATGGTGCAAAATTTGTGAAAATCGGTTAAATAGTCGCTGAGCTATTTTTTGCATTGGAATTTAACGATGTGTCGCGAAATATACCGTATATTTCGGGCCTATTACCTGAAAATGAAAAATCACACAAAAATCGGTCTTATAAAAAATGAAAATTCATTTTTTTCTTCATAATAACTACTGCGTATGTTTGTATTTAAAGTAATATTACATTAATGTTGGGCCTAAAACAATTACCTACCATTTTAAAAATCGGACGACAACAGACTGAGTTTTAACCTAAAAGTATGCTATAATTTTCTTCACAAACCAGCATTACGACAGAAAAATTGTGCCGTTTTTAAATATCAAATTTTATGTGATTTTTCATTTTCGGGTAATAGGCGCCCAGCACTGAACAGTAGGTATATTTCGGATCATCGTTGGATTCAAATGCAAATATCTCAGCGACTACTTAACCGATTTTCATAAATGTTGCAACATTGGTTAGAGGGAATTCTAAAGTTTTATTCCATTCTGACAGTTCATATATAAACTTATGTTAAATATGAAATTTCAAAGATATATAAAATATCGACAAAGTATTTTGTAAATCTAAACTCCAATGTTGATGTATTCTCCACACAAATAATAGATCTCTTGACAAGTCGACGGCTTGACACATAACTGATATTTTTTTTATAGGTAACAGAAGGAATGGCCCGATGGCTCCCATGTTCGAACTTTATGTAAGATTGAAAGAAATATTACGATCTGCAAAGTGTGGATGAAATTTATTACTCCCTTCAAGAGTTATCGTGCGCACAAGCTAGACAAATGGACGTACTGACATTTGTAAGTCGACTCCAAATTGTCTAAAATGGATTTGGCCCAAAGAAACATCGGTCTAAGGCCATTATTTCGATGATACACATTTTTGCCGTAGCAGAGTGGGTATATACCCTCATTAGCCAGGGTATTTGTATACAAAATTTTGCATTTATAATTATGGTGTAGTTATTGTTCTGAATATGAATAGTTTGTAATTGGCTTCAGACATGTCTAATGGAACTCTGATGAAATTCTAAATTGTCATTTATCTTTTTTTCTTCACAAATGTACGAACGATCTCTGGATGTAAAATTATAATAATTAGCAATTTTGATAGTGGAGTCATTTTGTATTGAACTCTGACAAACTTCTAAAGTATCATTTATCTTATTGAAGCCTGTTCAATATTTTTTAAATTTTATAAAGTAAATGATTTCAAATTAAGTAATCTTTGAATTTATTATAATTCCCATAAAAGGTTCCTCTTCTTCCTTAAATATTAATTTTCTTCTCCAAACGTCTATACTTCTCTATACTATTTTCTCTATATAGTTCATGTGCGTTTAATGTTAGATATCCTCCTGAAATCCAATGCAATTGTAAGTGCATTATTTAAGTAATTAAAGAAATACATTAAAAACATATATTTTGCATATATTTAAATGTCACAACTATAAGAGATTTTCAAAATGGGTCTTATTCAAATGTTTTGTTATCTTTAAATTCTTATTTTTTTATAAATGAAAAATATGTTGAAAATCCGTTCGAAAATTTTATTAGGAATTTATTAGACAATTCCTACAATTTTGGATTTCGAAATCCTGAATTTCATTTCTTTTGTGTCCTTTTTTTTTGTAAATAAATATTTCACTTTGTTTCAATAGGCCCTTGACGAAATCTCTTTTATAGCTTGTGATAGGTTCCATATGAATTGTATCATATTAAAAAAAAATACAGAAAGAAAACACTATGTTATAAAATATGAAACAAAAATATATATTTAGTTTAATAAAAAATTAAAAACAAAAAATATTTATACAAAATTAAAAAAAATGTTTGGCATCTATAATTTTTAAATTTAAACAGTAAAGAAGAAATCAACATTTATTTTTGAAATTTATAACATAAGAAATTATTAAACAAACCTCACACATTCCTTTCCTATATGAAAACAAAAAAATAAATAAATAAGAAAAATAACACCAAACTTTCACACACACCCACACCACACAAGAGTATATATAAAACAAAACAAAAATTAATATGCAAAAACCATACAACCACATAAATTTACACATCTATCTCACAGAGGAAATGCAAATATATAAATAACAAATTATTACATATAAGTAACAAAAAAAAATTAATATTTATAAAAAATATTAAAAAAATTGCAAAGTAAAAAAATAGCTACTAAGTAACAAAAATTAAAAAATAAAAAACAACAATAAACATGATCAAATTCTAAGACGTAAGTTAATATTATTAATACAAAAAAAAAATGGAAGTAATAAAAT